CAAGGACTCGACTCCGGTGCTCCAGCCTGGAGGCCGGGAGCGGGGCTGGAAGGGGGAACGGGACCGAACCCCTGCACCTCTCGGCCCCCGCCACCGCCGCACCAGGGAGGGGGCGCCCGTTTCCTTGACAACCGCGCGGGGCACAGCTCTCCCTATGGGCCGGGGGAGGGGAGGGGAAGGGAGAGAAGCAAAGAGACCCCCAGCGCCGGCGGCCGGAGGCACCCCCTGAGCTCAGTAGTCGCGGCCCCGGATCACGGGGCCTTGTCCGGCCGCGGCCAGCGCCTACCGTGTATCCCCGCTCCAGGTCACTCTCCTCGTAGCGAAAAGACGGGATGTAGACCTCCATGGCCGCGCCAGCGGGCCGGTGGAGGGCGAGCGGGGGGCGGGCTCACGGTCGCGGCCGCCGCTCCGCCCTCAACCCCGCCGCCCCGCCTCTTTTCCCGGCGCCCGCGGGACTCGGCAACTGCGCCGCACGGACCCAGCTACCCCGTGGATCCTGCTGCCCGCCGCGCTCTGGGCCCGCCCGGCCAGTGCCCGGGACCCAGAGCCGACGGTGTGGGGTTCTGGGCGCCTGGGTTCCTGGCCCAAAGAGCGGCGGCGATCAGCTGGGCCCGGAGGAGGCGGGGCCTGGAAACCTGTGTGTGTCCGCCGAAGAGGGATATGCGCGCCACCGCGGACAGGGCCGCACCCGGGCGCTCCCAGCCCTTGGGGCTTGAGCTTAGCCCTAGGTTTGCAATTTGCAAGACACTACCCTCAACAGATTGCGGGACAAAAAGGAGTGGAAAAACTTGGAGCTTCTTGATTTTGTTTTGGTTCGTGAATTTTCGTTTTAACACTCGGCTGGTATGAACAGCAGTAAACCCTACACTTTTACCAAGACTTGCCTGTTTCCTTTCAGTTCCAGGGTCAGCGTCATGTTCTGAGTTAGCCGTCGAACCTAGGAATGATGCTGTAATACAGATCCCGAAAGTCGGCTGTTCACTGAGACAAACGGTCTGGCTTCCTGCCCCAGTTCTAAAATGCCTCTCGGTAACTGTATAGGGCTTTTTAACGATAAGAGAAAATAGAAGACGGGGAAAAATAAAGAAAAAAGAAAGGTGAGGGCCGGAATCTGCCCCTCAGGCCAGAACCTAATAATCTGAAAATACCTAAAAGATTAAGTGTGCTAGTTTGAGGAAACTTTGCAAACTCTAGAGTTCCTTCCTTAGGTTAGAGGACAGAGCGGAACAGAAACTTGGGGGTGACCTCTTGGGCTGCAGGTAAGCAGCTGCGCCCACCTCTGTTTGCCCAAGGAGCATTTCTCCTTGAAACTCTGACGTTTATGAGGAGACCTTGGTCACGGAAAAGATAATCAGGCCCTTTGCTTTAAGAACTAGTCTGATGTGGACCCTGCAAAGCCTTTAAACTTACCCCCATCTGAAGGACCCCACCCCCCATCTCCTTCTCACTCACACGCTTGCAACTCCGGGATGTGTCTGCCTCTCAGAACTCCATGCCTCAGCATAGGTTATGTCCTGTAACCAGACTATCCTTCCTCTTTTCCATGGCCTAGCACCTCCTGATATAACCAGACAGCTCTGTGGATTCCGTGCTGAGTTCAGAGCCCAGCTTGTAGCTTCCCATAAGCCTCTGGTGACTATCACACTGTACTGTGTGATTAATTTACAGCCTCATCTACTAGGTTTTAGACCAAACACCTTAAAAAAAAAGTTGTTTTTCTCCTCTTCTTGGCACATTGCCACGCATACTTTTCTTGAAAGCTTTATATAATTTATATATTCATCTTTACAAAGCCAATGGAATGCAGCAGGTACTATGCCAAATGCTCTTACATCCCATGTCTCATTTAAGCTTCACAGCAGCGTCATGAGTGTTAGGTGCAGTAGGACTTTCAAGGACTAAGTAGTGTTCCTGTAAAAACACAGGAATAAAATTTTTAAAATAATGGCTGCTGATGGCAGAAGACCCCCAAAACAATTTCAAGACTGGTTGAAACAGGTTATTAAAGTCTCAGTGTGTAACGTAAACCAGGATTATGTAATCATAAAATCCTTGATCTGCAGATTGCTGATCATGCTTTTAGTGTACTTTTTATATGATCCTTCCCCAACAGCCTGCTAGTAGCCTGCCTGGCATACATATATTTGTCTGGTGTGGCTCATCTATTTATTCACTGGATTTAAGAGTCAGAAAAGTGTGGGTCCAAGAAGATAGGACAGGTGGTTCAAATGAACTTTTTTACCCTGTATTCTACTAATAGTTGTGTATAATTTAATTTTGCCTTGCTAAAAATATATACAAGCTCTTAATATGTGGGTGTGCCCTTCAGGGTTTATCAGCTTAGTTATAATTGTTATCATTTTAATTGTTTCAGATGGCATAATTAAAGCTTGGAGAAGATAAACAGCTATGAAATTACTAGCTAGTAATTAGAAGAGCTAAATTTCTAATCAACTTCTGTGAGTAACAACTAAAAAGGAAAGAAAAGAATAGCAACAAAGAGAACAATATGAATTATCCTGATGTTCTTACATACCTTTTAGTATGACTCTAATCTGTGACAGGTCAGCCAAACATCTTCCCAGAACATTAATAAAAATACATGGCAAATACATACATAAGAAGTTGAACAGCTAGTACCTGTTAATAAAGGCAAAAAATTTATGTAAGAAAATTAAAGTTCTGCTGGAATCTGGGTATAAAATCCTTATACTAAAAATACCATGTTTACCTAATATTCGGTAGAAATATATTTCAGCAAGTTTAATGATTAATTGCTTTAAATACCAGCTTATATTAGAAGTCTTGACCAAAATCTATCTAGAATATATTACATTACATCTCTTCCTAATAATTTTTAACAGGCTAGGAATAGCAAGAAACATCTTTAATTTGATAAAGCTTACTACAACCCTACATCATATACCCTATTCAACATCATATGAGGAAGCATAAGAATAGTGTCAAAACTTTATCACAATTATTGTTTTACATTTTCCTGGAGGCACTAGCCAATGCAGTAAGACAAGTAAAATAAATAAGAGGTACAGATATTGATAGGAAGATATAAAACTAAGGTTAATTGTAGATGAAATTGAAGATACAAAACTAAGGTTAGTTGATTCTGTTAGAATAAAATTTTTTAGAATAAATAATTTTTTTCATTAGGTGTCATATTAAGTCATCATACACAAATCAACAGATATCATATATAATAGCTTGCTTACACACCAACATTAACCACTTAGAAAATAATATAGGGAAAAACCAAAAGATTTCACTAATAACAGTATTAAAAACTTACAAAATTTTTTCAGATAAGCTTAGTAAGTGTGCAAAACCTATATGAAGAAAACTAAGTAAAGAACATAAAGGAAAATCTGAAAATAGTTTTGTCATGTTTCTGAATGGGAAGAATCAGTATTATACTGATTTTGGGGGGTAAGTTTTCATCAAAACAATTTAAAAGTTAATACAATCAAATCCCAAATACACTAAGAAAAGTGACAAGAGCTTATTCTAAAATTCATTTTTAAAATGAATAGCTAGAGCAGGTTTGAGCGACAACAATAAAAAAACAGAATGAGGGGATAAATTAATCGATAGGACATCAAAACATACTATAAAGTCATAGTATTTAAACCAGTATGATCCTGGAGCAAAATTAGATAAATGATGAAGGGAACTAAATAGCCCAGAAATAGATCCCTTAATGTATAGGAACATAATATGAAACAACAATGGTATTTTAAACCCGTGAAGATAAAAAAAATAAGCTATTCAATAAACAGATCAATGTTTAAAGAGGTTTTTTTTTAACTTTCTTTTTATTGAGTTATAGTCATTTTACAATGTTGTGTCATAAAGAGTTTTAATAAATATTTAAATAGTAAAGTTTTAATAAATGTTAAAATAGTATAAATAAATGGTATAATAGTTTATGGATAACTGGCTACCCATTTGAAAGAAAAGTAAAATTCATTTTAAAAATAAATTTGATATATACTAAAAAGCTCTATGAAAATACAAAGCTACAAAACCTTATGGTAGACAAAGTTTTATTACAAAAAAAAAGTGTCAAAGACATTAGGGGAAAGATTATACTATATTAGACTAGATAAAAATTTTTAAATTAATGGAAACCAAAGAGTGAATTCAATTCAATGTATTCAATAAACTGAAAAAAATTGCAACATGTATGATGAAAGGTTAATGTGTATATGTGAAGAATACATAATTTTTCTTAATGGCACAATAGAAAAAGGACACAGTGTGAACAGGCAATTCCCAAAAGAATGCAAATGGACAAAAAAAATCTGTGAGTTATCTATTACCAAGTAACAAATTACTCCCCAAATTTTAGCTGCTTAAAGCAATAAATACTTATACAGTTTCTGTTGATCAGGAATCTGGGAGCAGTTTAAGTTATAAACAAGATGTGTACACTAAGGCTATAGTCATCTGAAGACTCCATTGGGTTGCAGAATTCAACTCACAAAGTGGTTCACTCACGTGCCTGGCAAGTTACCCAAGTTACAGTTGGTTGTTGGCAGGAGGCCTCAGTTCACAGACATCAAAGCTGGCTTCCTCCAAAGCAAGAAACCCAAAAGCGCTCAGGATGGAGACTACCGTGACTTATCATCACCTACCCTAAGAATTCACACTTCATTGTTTCTGCAATATCCTGCTGCTTACAAAGGTTAGCCTATTCAGTGTGGGAGGGCTATACAATGGCTTGAGTCTCAGGAGGCAAGAATTGGGGCTTTCGTGGAGGCTAGCTACCACATAACCATGAGGAGAGGTGCTAAAATCCTGTAGTAATCAAGGAAATGCAAGGTAAATAATGGAGGTGTCATTTTTTAACTTTTAGAGTGGCAAACATTGCAAAGATTATTCCAGTGTTGGCAAAAATGTGGGGAAATGAGTACTCCTGGTGAGAGTGAACTAGGACAGACTTTTTAGTTGACAAACTGGCAGTGGCTATTACAGTTTTAAAGGCATGTATTCAGTCCAGAAATTTCACTTCTGGAAGTAGTTCCATATGTTCAGGGCAGGAAAAGTATATACAAGAATACTGCACTGTTTACAATGGCAAAAATTTGGAAACAATTTTGATCATATCATGGATAAAAATATTTTGGTGTATCTACACTATGAATACAACGTTGCATTAAAAAAACCTATGTTAGTATTTCTGGGTTAAGATAGAAAACAGAACATATTTAACTAATTTCACTCCTTCTAGCCCCAATAAAACTACAAAGAATTTTCCCTTTCTTTTTTAATGCAAAAGATAGGAAAAGCAGGAGGAGAGAGAATAGCAAAAAGATTTGTATAAGCTAGAAAGCAGATGGATGAGAAGTAACTGTTTTAGCAAACAAGAAAAAGCCCAATTTAAGCAAGCAGTGGGAAAGCTGAAAATGAGCCTGATTTACACAGGACAATACCCAAAAGGCTCAGTGACAGGGAATAAAAGGTATATCTAGCATGAGAGGTAATTGGCTAAAAGAAGAAACACTGAGTGACAGCTGAGAATCAGGAACATCCCTTAATCCCCTCTGCCACCTTTGCACAATTCTGGAGGATATTTC